CAAGGCAAGCGCTCTACCACTTGAGCCACAGTGCCACTTCCAGCTTTTTTTCTTTTTGCTTATGTGGTGCTGAGGAATGGAACCCAGGGCCTCAGGCATGCAAGGTAAGCACTCTACCACTGAGCCACTTTCCCAGCCCTTGCTTTGCTTTTTACATACGTGTGTGTATAAAGTTTTATAATAAGTTAGAATAAGTTATAACAACACACATCTTCAAAATACCTCCATCTCCCCTGCTACCACAGTCACAGCTAGCCTGGACCACTGCAGTGGTTTCTTCCTCCACAGTGCCCCTGCCTTCACCCTCCACCAATAGTGTATTTTTAGTGCAGCTGCCAGAAGAAGCCTATTAAACCCTACAGGAGATCATGTCCCTCTACTATTCATGGCCCTCCTGTGGCTCCCCCACTCCATCTCATAGCAAAATCCATGGTCCTCACTTTGGTTCACAAAACCCTGTCCAATCTGTCATCCACTACCTCTCTGTCTTCACCTCTGATTCTGCCCTTCATTTACTCTGTTGCGCCACATCAACCTCCTGACTGATCCTAACGAACATTAGTCATAGCCCTTCCTCAGGCACTTCACCTTTGCCTGGGATGCTCCTCTCCTAGTTATCTACAAGGCTTGCGTTCTAATCTTCAGATCTCCCCTGAAATCATTTATCACTAAAGCCTTCCCAGACCCCCAATCTAAAGTCCCAATGTCTCCCCACATTTCCATTCTCTCCTCTTCCCTCCCTCTTATTAGCAGTCATCTTCACCTAAAACACTGTATATTTGAGGCTGGAAGTGTGACTCAAGTGATAAGAGAGCCTGATTAGCAAGCACAAGGCCCTGAGTAACCCGAGTACTGCCTCAAAAAACACGTACCTACAATACCATATATTTTATCTGATCAGTTCTTACCCCAGAAACATTTATGCCCCAGGCATACACTGTTTTTGTTCTGTTTTTACCAGTAGCACATAACAAGCAGTTTCTATTTGCTAAATTAACAAATGAAATTTCTCTAAGTCCAAGCCAGTTACCACATTGTCCTCCATCAGCCATCAGCTTCTGGTTTTCCTTTCCAACTAAGGTGGACTCAACTGCCACTAAACGATCACAAGGTGAAATTTTTATTAGGCTTTTTATCCCAAGTGTTCAAGAGCTTGCTTACCTGAAGTGTCATCTGGGGCCATGGACGAAGTGGGGTGGGGGCCACCAGGGGACCCACTAACTCTTGAGCATCAAGACACTCTGATAGAGAGAAGAAAGGTGAAATATTGGGACAAGACAGGTGAGCAAACAGGTCTGATTTAGCTAAGAAAATCTGCTGATAAACTCAAGGTACACTATTAAAAAATGAACTATGTGGCTAGGTAGGGATGGGAGGGAGAGAGTGGGGAAGAACAAAGGAAGGGGTGACATTGTCCATCCAATAAGCATTGCACTCATAACCCAACTTACAGAATTATAACCCCCTTGCACAACTACTTAATAACAATAACATTTTTTAAAACTCAAATAAAAAGAAAATCTGCTAGTCTAACCAGCTGACAACTGAAGTTTTTGTGGTCATCTAAGCAATAGGAGACCTATCTTATTCATAGTAAGAAAAGGGGAAGGAAAAAAGAAATGGTAAGAAAAAAGAGCAAAAGGCTGTGAGTATAAATAATTCAGTGCTAGAGCAATTACTTAGCATGTTCAGGGCCGTAGGTTCAATCGCCATCTCTCTCTCTCTCTTTCTCACTCACTCACTCACACACACACACACATACACACAAATTGAGATATAAAAAGTGGGAAGAAATCCCAAAAGGTGTCAAGTACTTACCCACAGCAGAGGTATTATCATCCATGTTCTTCATCCTCAGTTCCTCCTCATTAGGCCTGTAGGGAAGAGAAGAGAGCACATAGATCTGACATCCTAAGAGGTCAGTTCTGCCACCCACAGGCACCTTCTGCACCTCTGTGGTGGCCCATCTCTACCTGATGGCTGCTGTTACTCTTCTGCCTCTTTTTGTCTCTTGATCATGTAAGCCCTACACGCCCATTGTAGGAAGCTTACAAAATACAGGAAAATCTAAAGACGTGGGATGCAAAACAAGCACACATCAGCCAGAGGCAATGACTGTTACCATGTGGAAAATTTCATTCCAGACATTCTCTGAAACCATTTAGATTCTGCAGACATGCATTCACAGCTGGCTTTGTCCATTTAACAGTAAGAAACATCATTATAGGCTTTTGCAAACATTGAAAATGGCTGCTTAATGCTTATATCATATGGGCTCACCATAATTTACGTAGCCATTCTTTTCATATTGAGCAGCCAGGTTGTTTCTTCTATTATTTGGTCACAAACCAAACATCAACAAATAGCACTGGGCATCGTTTTATCAACATGTTTGGATCATTTATTTATTTAAGATCTATTTCTGCCTGTGATGAAAGCCTTCTTTTCAATGAATGAGTAGGTGGTAAAGGCTGTCAGATGCAAGAAGCAGCAGAGAGAAGGGGGGAAAATGGAGAATGGGAAGGGAGTTAGAGAAGACTGGGTCCCTGCACCAGCTCTTTACATTCTCATATCAGTTTACAAGGTCATAGCTAGTCTCCTCACCTGCAACATGAAGTACAGGAAAACCAGGATGTGTACATCAAGCCCAAGAGGAACCAAGAGAAATGGAGATGCAAAGTCAGACATGAAGGTCTGGCACAGGGTGAGGGACTAAATGGGTAGGATATATTGATTGATCTTACTCCTTCACCAAGCCACGTCAAATCCCTAAATGGTATTGTCAAGCATATTTCAGCCTGATCCTGCCAGATGTGGTATCTCATCATGGAGAAATCACTGTTCTTATTCTTACACAAGTATCTAATATCTACAGATAAGTCCAATGAGGGAAGTATTAATTAAACATCCAGAAACCTGGGAGGGGCTAAGGCAACCACTCAGAACTTTTTCTTCCAAAGAGGCAGCAAGGCATTGTTAATACTTGTGGAAATAGTTGAAACTTTTTTTGGTCCATTATGGGTCTTAAACTCTGGGCCTGGGCACTGTCCCTTAGCTCTTCAGCTCAAGGCTATTGCTCTACCACTTGAGCCACAGCGCCACTTCTGGCTTTTTCGGCTTATGTGATGCTGAGGAATCGAACCCAGGGCCCCATGCATGCAAGGCAAGCGCTCTACCACTGAGCCACCTTCCCAGCCCCCGAAACTTTTTGAAAATATCTAAACAGTTATCTTCACAGAAACAGAATGTCATCAGCTGACACATATGTAGTATTATGATGTCAGGTAAGCTCCACATGCATCAATATATTAATTTAATCTTCCCAATGCCAGATTGGTACTTTTAGCTGGGCACTGGTGTCTCATACTGATAATCCTAGCTACTTAAGAAGCTGAAATCTGAGGACTGCAGTTCAAAGTCAGCCTAGGTAGGAAAGTCTGTGAGACCCTAAACTCCAATTAACTACCAAAAAGCCAGAAATGGAGCTGTGGCCCAAGTGGTAGAGCACTAGCCATGAGCAAAAAAGCTCAGGGACAATGCCCAGGCCCTGAGTTCAAGTGGACTGGTGCACACGCATACACACACACACACACACACACACACACACACACATACACACATTACTTTTAATCCTTTGAAGTAGGTATTACTATTATTCCTAAAGAGGATGAGGACATGGTTCAAGGTCATGCAGGAACAGGAACAGGATCACAACCTGGGCCTTCTGTATTCAACCAAGTTGCTGATCCTTGGATACGGAAGACTAGAACCTAACCATCTCCCACCCAAGCTAGTAGAGGGAGGAATCTGTAATAGACAAGATTTTTCCCTCTTCCTTCACTGAGGCTGCTTTAGACCTGCCTTTTGTCTACATATTAATTCCCAGTTTATCTAGTTCCATGGGACATATGGCTAGGAAACCACAAGGCAAGAGCTGTACAATCCTTCCACTGGTGTGCTGGGGAAAGGAACTTTAACCAGGTACGTGGATCCAGAGGCGAGAAACTTTGGATGGGGAAATCTATATTTCTCAGTAGTCTATGCATCTCACTAGAAGCATTTGAATCAAAATACTATGTGGCTTGTGGTAGACAACTGTGGGAGCCCAGCCAACAAGTCACACACATTAGAGCTGAGAAAGTAAAGTTCAGAACTAACTGCCTGGATACTTTACCAGTTCCCTTAGTGGGTCTAAAATCCAGGCCTTTAGACCTGTGTTTCAATACAATTTCTGCTGGATGATACTGGCTTCATTTTTTAAAAAATCTTGTCATTAAAAAAGGTTGGTATTCTCTAAAACAAGCTTCTTCAAAAATAGTCTTGAACAAGATAAAAAGCCCTTCCAGGGACAGGATTGGGCAACCCTCATCATCCAGCGCAATCCTGACATGTGTAATATTTAGGCTTCTAAAATCTACTACCATCATAGATGTGAGGATAAAGAGAAAATTCAGGAAGTAGCCAGCAGCAGGAGAAGGACTCTTAATATGGTTGCAGAAAGAAAAGAAAAATATGACAGGAGTCCTTTAGCCCTCAAGGGAATCTCTTCAACAACCAAGGATGGCAAGAGAGGGCATTCAAAAATCAGGTCAAGCAATCAAGACCATCCTAAAATCCATGAAATCAGCAGAAGCAAATAAATTGTTCTCTCAACCCCTGAGAAAATCAGGATGAAAACAGGAGGGACAGGTCATTACTGTTCACATCCAATGTGGACCTTCACATTAATACGTCAAATCATTTGAAAGCCTCACAAATTCAGAAACTATGGCTTAAGGGTCTTTGTACCCAGACTCTACTCCAAACTGAGACTCAACTCTGAAGGTAGAGTCTAAAACTGGAGACTTGTCAGCATGAGTAGCTCATGCCTGGAATTCCAGCTACTCAGGAGGCTGAGATCTGAAGATTGAGGTTCAAAGCAGAAAACTCCGTGAGACTTATTTACCAGCAAAAAGCTGGAAGTGAAGCTGTGGCTCAAGTGGTAGAACACTACCCTTGTGTTCAAACAAAAAGCCAAGAACGAAGCCAGGCGCTGGTGGCTCACGCCTGTAATCCTAGCTACTCAGGAGGCTGAGATCTGAGAATCATGGCTCAAAGCCAGCCCAGGCAGGAAAGACTGTGAGACTCTTATCTTCAATAAACCACCAGAAAACCGGAAGTGGTGCTGTGGCTCAAGCAGTAGAGCACTCGCCTTGAGCTGAAGAGAGCACCCAGGCTGAGAGTTCAAGCCCATGACCGACTAAAAAAAAAAAGCCAAGAGCAAGGTGGTGGTGGCTCACACCTGTAATCCTAGCTATTCAATAGGCTGAGATCTGAGGACCAAGGTTCAAAGCCAGCCTGGGCAGGAAAGTCTAGGAGACTCTGAACTCCAATTAACTACCAGAATACTAGAAGTGACACTATGGCTCAGTGATTAAGTGCTAGCCTTGAACAAAAGAGCTCAGGGACAGCACCCTGGCCCTGAGTTCAAGCCCAATGACTGATGACAAAAAAAAAAAAAGCCAAGTGACAGCATAAGGACCTGAGCTCAAGCCCCCAGTACTGGGACAAAAAATGAACAAAATCTAATGTAGCTCAGTGGCAAAGCACTTGCCTAGCAAGTACAACATCCTGGGTTCAATCCCTAGTATCAAAAAGAAAAGACAAAAATAGTTTAAAAACAAAATAAAATATAAAACATTGGGCTTACAAAATATTACACATAAAATGCATCCTATGTACATATCCCCGAACTGTTTTTTACAGTAAAAAGTTGGAGGCAACTATGACTACAGTGCAAATAAGGACAGTAAGACAAATTGAGTACAAGTGTTCACTGAACTCACTGATTAGTAACAGAGAAGAGTTCTTAGAAAAATGGTGAGGCAGATTAAGAACAAAACTTTACCTACAGAGTGCCTGTAAATTTTTGAAATGAAACCTGCTCTTTGGGTACCAGTCCCACAAATTTCACATGGCATCCTCTCAAGGGCAGTGGACAGAGATGGGCCAGGGTACATATTGCTGGAATGTCTTGGCACATAGCATTTGGGTGCCCGTGAGCACCAGTCAAGCCTAGAAGGGGTCATTCTAATGGGCATCAACATCCTTCTGCCACCAGGAAACTCAATGGATGCTGACCTCAGACGGTATCTGATACAAAGGAGCAAGATTTGGGGAAGAGGTGGCATTGGCCCCAGCACAGGCCAGCTGAGACAAATGACCAGAAAGATCAAGTTGTCAGAGTTGAAGAAGGCTGACAAGCCCTAGGAAGAAATGCCAAGTAAAACACAAAGCAATCACAACACTGCCACCACTGCCGCCAACTGGGTGGCAAAAAACTTTGCCCAAAGTAGCTCAGGCACTGAACCTTAAAGGGAAACCCAGCAGCACCCAGCTCCCATTGAGACAACCTGACCATGATGACTCTCTGGGGGCAGGTCGCTAAAAGAAGCTTCCTCCCAAATACCAGGAATCCCAGTTCCCCGGGGCCACATGCTTTCTGCAAAGAATGAGGTTTAAAGGCAATTGAGAAAGTCAAGTAATGTAGGGCACTGACTTGCCTTCCCCAAGTGTATCAGTCTCAGCTAAGATTTGTGGACATACCAGCAAAGGGGGTGGGAGAGTGGTTTATCATGCCATGAGCTTTTTATCCTAGTGACAATTCTTTTGGCTATGGCCAACAGTAAAACCTCATAACCCAGTATACTCATACGTGTGAATATACAAACATACAGAAGGAAGTTGTTCTTTGAAAGAAATGATACTTACCTTTATTATATCATGAGATACACTCTGATGTTTCCTATGCCATTTTTTTTTTGTGTGTGCTGGGCTTGGGGCCTGAACTCAAGAGTCTAGGTTCTATCCCTGGGCTTTTGTACTCAAGGCTAGC